TCTTTTCGCATTTGAGTCTAAGCGAGGGACCGTGTCATAAACCGAAGTCTAAAAACCCAGCGTCAATTGACGGATTTTACTTTCCAATCTTGGGAATGGGGAAACAATTCACGAGCCCGGCACCGTCACTGAACGCGAAGGACCGACGTATACTTCCTTCCTAACAAAGCATCCAGTGCGTGCTTTTGGAAGTATTAAAGTACTTATCCAGCTTGGTTTGTTAGATCAAGTCAAGGTCAATCCTAGACGATCTGCGCTTGTTTTCGCTTTGCTCAAGCTGACCAGATGAACTTTGAGCGACATAATATTAATCGCTATTGAGGTGCCGCTGTAAGTGGCCCAATACATCGACGCTATTGGAGCAGGCACTGTGACAAACAAGGATTTTTAAAAAAAATGTATTTACTGAAGAAATGTTTTTTGCTTAGCCCCTCGACTCCCAGGAATGAGGGCACCGGACAGCTTATTTTACGTCGTATCTTACAACTTAGTGCTGGAGCTGAATAACTGTATGGGGCAAAGAAAGCCTGTAGGGGATGGGGTATAAGTTGTCAACAGGTCCTTCGTGCAATGACGTAACTTATACAACTTTGTTTGCATTATTCAGCTATGTATGTCGTAACTTACCACGAGCCAGCACTGCCTAGAAAGAAAGTCCGATCATTGACATGTCATTTGCAAACACGAAACGTAGAAAACACATTGATTGAAGGTTCTATGCATTACGAACTTGCAACACAAAGGACTCATCAAGTTCGCACTCGTCTTTGCTACACTACTCAGCCTCATCATCGGCTTCGTCACCTCGCAGCTGGATCTCTCGGTGAGTCTTCTGCCGTTTTCCTGCTTCTTGTCCGGGTCGCCGAAGCACAATTCTCTTCCCCAAGTTCGACGGTTAGCTCTGGCCGGCATCAAAATCGTCGTTACAGATTTCGAAGCACGTCTTTGGCACCCCTTTGTATTCTTGCCGGATCTTGTTGCAGAGCCAATACTTGGCATCATCGATCGAACAGCGCTCACAATAGCAGGTTGTCGAGTAAGATTTCTTCTTGCGGTCGATTCTTAGCAACGCGCACACCTTTCAGGAGCGCTGGCGACGCTTCTGCACATTGGAGACCGCCACCCAGTCCTCACACTGCTCCAACCACGTGTAAGCCGCGGGGTACGCTTACGTTTCTGCGCTGAAGGTGGTGGCGTTGCGACTACACCGGTGAAGTCTTCTGCCTTCAGTTGAAGTAGCTGGTTCTGGAGGACGCCGTACCACTCGCGACGCTTCATAGCTGGTATACCAGCTATCTTTGCAGCCTCGGTGTGGGAGATGTAGGCATTGGCTAACGCGAGATCGACAAGGCCTAAGAATAGGCTTTTTTTTAATATTTCTTGAGCTTAGTAGATGTTTGGAGTGAGTAGGCTTGGAGACGGAGTTGATCGTGCACATCAACTCCACCCATCCAACCTTGGTAGTCGTTTACGGCGGCTGGGCATGGCACCGTAATTGCCCCCAACCTGCTTCACCTTCCGCTCAATCGCTGACGGCGCCATCGTTGCTCCTGTACACAGGTAGTGGACCGGCTTGCGATCCCACCCGTGGAAAGCAATCATGGATGGTATCGCAACCGAACGTGAAAATGTAAACGTGCCGCGACCAATATTCGCCGGGCGCTGCTCTCTTTACTTGGTGTTTCTTGTCCAGCCCGAGACGGTTGACCATGGTAGTACCATTGACGTAAACGTTCTCTTCAGCAGCTCGATTGCAAGGAGAATAGAAGAGTAGTATCTGTCAACAACAACCGCGCACCACCGTTGTCGCTTGTTTTCTGCAAGTACAATCTTGAGGTTCCTGACCACAGCAGCTGCCCCTGTCTTGTGGTCAAATAAAGTGCTGCCATCAGCCTCTGAAGTGCGCTTGCCTGCATACATTTCGAATCTGGTAAGATACGACATAGAAGTCAGTCAGAATGGCTGATGGCGTAACTTACGACATTCAGATGCTTACCTGTGCCAATAGGCTGCCCTCGAGTCGCACGTCGTAAACATCTTCGACCCGTATCGGTGTGGTTTATCAGCATAAACATTCTCGTCGTGTTCCGCTTAGACGTGGCTGGGAATACCCCCTCATCAAAAGAAAAACACCAGGCAGCAACCAGCCCTCCTGGAAACTCTGCTGAAGCTTGGCAATTACCGGTCGCAGTTTTCACAGCGTTTCCCTGTTCCGTTCACCCTGGTTGTCGACGAAGTGGCGATCGCTCAGGATATCCTGGCAGCGGTTGCGGCTCATGAAGCGTCCGAAGCTGCCAGCAGGAACGGCGCCATCTTCGACCATCGACCCGTGCGCTGCAAAGATCTTATGCGGGCAGAGCATGCGCGCAACGAGCAAACCGAGGGCGTGTAGGATCTCGTGAGCCTAGTACGCTGGCTTAGTTCTCAGGCGGCGCCGTATATTCTTCAGCGTTTCTTGTCGGCGGTCGGGGTGCTTGACTTGTCGAGCATGAATTGCTTCAGCTCGTCTGTGTACTTGCTGAAATGCGTAAATGTTCGTTTCTTGGTGAATAGTCACCCACATGGACTTGGGCATAAAAAAGAAGAACGTAAGAAGTGGCAAGTGTGTGACATTGCGCAGCTCTCTCGTGAGCTGAGCAAGCTCCGCACCAAGTCCTGGATATGCTTCCACATTTGACTCGAAAGAAGACGACACAGACGTCCACTTCATTTCTCCCAAGGCATCCTCGCGCTGGTGCAGACTGCGTCGATCAGGTGCTTCAGTGTCCAACTGGAGTGAAGCGATAAAAGCCTCATCCTTCTCCACGGCGTCGCCATCGGAGATGCCATCATGGCTACAGTCGTCGTTCCCACGGTCTGGAGTCGTCTTCTGTGTAGGCAACATCGTCGCTCTCATCCGAGCTGAAGCTTTCGTACGTGCTTGTTTTTTCACTCTCAGGTACAAAGTTGATATCCTTTTCTTCTTTGGGAGCTTGACGTCGGGGCTTCCGTCTTTGTTCATCGGCAATGGACTTGTCCTCTTCTTTGGCACCGCTCTCAGCTCCAGACGCGCCCGACAGCAATTGTAAACGAGCGGCAGCTTCTTCAAGCTGCGAGGCGTCCAGTAATAGGCCTTCAGGTGGCAAATCAAATGCCCGAGTGACTGCCGACTGTGACAGATGCCTCCGTCTCGCTAGACGTGCCGAACAAATCTCTTATAGTACGTTGCGATATCTCGATACTGGTGTCAATCTGCGAGGCGGTAACGCATTTGTCAGAGGTTCTGTCATCCAGGGTATCTGCATCGCTGTCACTGTCACCTTCGACCAGAAGTCCAGACTCCAGAGCATATTCCACTACGGCGTCTTCTCCAATCAGCACCTTGGTACCATCAGGATTTGAATAACCCCACTCGGTCTGCAATCCACTGGGCTTCTTCGCTGTCAGCCAGTAGCACGAAGCTGGCGCCAGAAGGGACCAAAGTCGATATCACGCGCGGTGGCGGCCGCTGTAGCTGCTGCCGCGACTGCAGCTGCGGCCTTCTCTCGACGACTGGAACGAATGCGCGCCATTCGGCGAAAGGTGGAATGAGCGGTTGACAAGCCACCGATTCAGATCCAAAAACTGATCCACGTCCCCTACTTTTCCCCGTTTCTGGGTTTTCATATAATACCTCCGGGACCTTATTTTTCCAAAATGACTTGATTAAAGTATTGGAAAAAAATTGAGCCAAATTCTGTTGAAATGCTGCGTACGTCGTAAGATACGACGTAAAAAAATTAGGATGTCGTATCTTACGACGTTGGGAGTCGCAAATAACATATTTTATGGTTTGGCACAATTCGAAAATTTACTTATGGTTTTTGTTGATTCCTTCACGAGTTTTATTTTCCTCGTTGGGCAGTCACCTCGCTTTGAGCTGTCTGCAGTTCATTTTCATTTTACAGTTCAGTCTTCTGCAAGTAGTTGTACTCTCGATCTCACCTTAGAGACGGACTGTAAATGGCAAACGTGTTCTGTGCAGCTCCGGCTGCACAAACATTTGTTGCATTGCTTGGACACTTCGACAGCCGCAGATACCATCGATTCTCTAAAATACTAGAAGTACTACAGTACATGCTTGATGGTCGGAGCTGGTTTCCGCTTGATCCACTTGGCAAGATTTGATGAGCTCAGGATCTTACGGACGGTACTTGGGCGTAGGGACCTGGCCAATCGCCTCCAAAATACGCTTAGACGATAGTTTCTTGACAGTAGCAAATCGAACAACTTGTCGTACTAGGCGCTTGGTGGATTTTGGTCGCCTTTCGCGTCATGTGTGGGGTTTTACACGATTAGGAGTTATCAATACGTTGCAGACAGCGTTCGGACTTCGACCAATCTATCGTGCTACCCAGCGCTTGCCTTTTCCATCCTTAAAGTGCGCTTTCTACCGTCCGATCTCCTCCTCAGACAATTTCTTGCCTCTTGGTATCGTGGATTCTGTGTGTGGCCTAGAGGGAGGAATGTGCTTTATGCATAATTTCAGCTAATCAAAACAAAAGTCGCTTCAGTATCTCTATAGATAAGAGCACTCTCTAAAATGACAGTTTCACTTTAGAATTTGCAGTACGTACATTTTTTTTTAAGATGGTCTTGTTAGGCGTTAGGCAAGTGTTTGTTGGACCGAGCGGCACAATCTACCTTGAGAAAATCTAGTGTCCCTATAATTAATAGCAGCACTGTACAGAAGTTCACCACTACTTTAGTGTTATCTTCTTTTCTACTTGTAGTCTAACTTATAATGAAGTATTGTAGATGACTGGTATCATTAATACGACCATACGCGCTCTTGGAAAAAAAAAACTTTCGTGTTGTTAAAAAAAATACTGTACGGTATATCTTCATCTCTTTAAGTTGGGCCTTGCTACTAGAACCCCCCCACACGCTCGACTACAGTAACAGGTTGCGAGCTCTTCGTATAAGAATTGTTTTTAAAGATTCTCAAGAATTTTTTTATGAGCTTACAGTTAATGACATCGCTAAACCGTCGTGGGGAATGTAAGCTCTTCGACAAAGTCTAGCGCTGACCCCTCAGATAGCTGAGGTATCAGCCTGTTCTCTTGAAGCCACTCCGCATTGTACAATTTACTGCCGTAGCGCACACCGCCATCAGCCAAGATCGTCACGATTGTATGTCCTGGGCCAAGCTCACGCGCCATCTTCACCGCGCCAAGTACGTTCAGAGCACTACTCGGTCCAACAAAGATACCGTCGTTACGAAGCAAGAAGTAGGCCATGCCTACAATCTCCTGGTTATTCGCAGTGATTCCCTTGTCGACAATCGACTCTCGCAGGTTCTGCGTCACACGTGACAACGCTGCTACACCCTCTGCGATCGTGGCTCCCTTGGCCATCGGCACGACCTCAAAACCGTCTTCAATCGTGCTGGTTGACCTGTCATTATTGATAAAAGCCGACATCGCTGCCGTCTCCTCCGGATCAATAAGCCAGACCTTCACATCCGACTTCTTCTTCTTAAAGAACCTCGACATCCCGGCGATAGTTCCCGACGTCCCTGCAGACGTCACAAAGCCGTCGATCTCTCCATTCACTTGGCTCCAGATCTCGGGCGCGGTTCCTTCATAATGCGCCATCATGTTGGCAATATTATCAAATTGGTTCGGACAATACGCGTTCGGTGTCGTCTCGGCAAGACGAGCAGCGACGTGGAAGAAATGGTTCTCCTTATCCGACATCGACGTCGTGGGCAGGACGTGGACTTGAGCGCCCATTGTTTTCATCATCTGCACCTTCTCCTTTGCAGTGATATCCGGCATCGTTAACAGTGTCTTATAGCCTCGTGAAGCTCCAAGTAATGCGAGGGACACGCCCGTGCTGCCTCCTGTAGCTTCGATGATCGTGCCTCCAGGCTTCAGTAAACCGCGTTCCTCGGCGTCCAGGATAAGCGACTTGGCTACACGATCCTTGATACTTCCACTGGGGTTGGCATACTCTGCTTTAGCTAGAAGCTTGCAGCCAGTAAGTTTGGACAAGGTAGTGAGCTCAAGCAATGGCGTATTGCCAACTGATGCCAGGAGATCGACCGAGCCGGTGGTGGAGTACGAACCCCATTGAGACTCTGTTAAGCCCAAGGAGCGAGCTGCGACAAGTTTGGAGCGTGCGGAAGACCCGCGACAACGGAGAACTGAGCTATTGCGCCACATGACACCTCTGCGACTCGCAGACTGCGAGAGCTCTGGTCGTCAAATGGAATGGACTCATGATGGGATGCCGTAGATGCATATGTTGAAAAACAACTTTCACCGCCAATGAAAGTTTGAGTAGCGCCAGACGTGGACGTTCACAGGCCAATAACATTCCTAAACGATGTGCACATGTAAGTACTACTAAAACATGCAGCTTTTGAAGTTTAGAGGGTTAAAATAATAACAGCTACTTTAAAAAAAGATTAATGCTTCAAAGTTTATTTTAGGCTGTATCAATAAAGAAAATACTAAAACAAAATGATACTTTCGCATATACACCAGTTTTCGGATTTACTCACGCAGTAGCCGCCCTGAACACTTTTCGGAAACCAAGTCAGACACAAGCTTCGTATCCTGGAGGATGTAAATATTGTAGCATTCTTCTTACCTTCAAGTCGAAAGATTTAAGTTACACGGGCCAGTGAAAGCGCAAGCTAAATAGTAGGTGCAGATTCCTCCTAAGCGTCTTCACGGAAAAGTTCGATGAACTCCTGTAGATCGAGAGTGGCGTTGGCATTTGCATCAAACGACAAAATAATGCGTGCGACGTCCTCCTTCGTAAGCTGTGTCGATCCACGACGATCGCTCTCGTAGAACCGGTCGTTATAACGAAGAGCCTCAAGCAGTTCACTAGCATCAATGTCGCCATTATTGTCCGTGTCATAAAGCTAAGAGCACAAGGGGATTAGTGAGTAAAAATCTGTGACGTGTGAAAAAAGCAGCTTCAACTTGACGTACCTTGAAGAGCTGTTGGAGTTCCTGCAATTGCTCGGTCGTCAGCGTCTTCTTCCTTACTCGCCGGTTCTTCTCTACAAACTCCAATAGTCGGCACAAGCGTAGAATCTCCTCTAGAACTTCGGGAGGTGCGTCTCCAAATACAACAGTACAAAGCTCTGCGAGGTCGATGAGTCCACTTTGATCCTTGTCGATGCTGCTGAAGATACTGCCAATGTTATCTTGCATATGAGTCCCCGAGAAGAGTCCGCTACCGCCTACTATTTCACGTATCGTAATGGCGCCACTCCCATCTTGATCCAATTTGCTGAACGTGCGATAAATGTTGACGATATCATCGCGCGAGTACTGACCGAAGCGTTCCTGCCGCATCAGCGCCGCATCTGAGCGGATGCGTACCTTCTTGGCCGATTTGAGCTCTTTCTTGGGCGATTGGGGCTTTGCTGAAGACCGAATCGCTCCAGCGGAACTAGACGAAGGTGTATTTTGACGGAGCTGTGGACCTCGATCTGCTGTCGTGAGCGCAGACTTCGGGTGCCTTCGAATCGGATGAAGGCTTGGTTTCATGTCTTGAGTCGCCACAGGACTCATGGGAAGTGGTTCGTCTCTGTTAGAGCTCACTGGATCCGATAGAATCGTTGCTTCCTCGTTAGAAATACAAGGCAACTCTGGACTAGATTGCGCCGAGGGGTCCAGACATGGACTGTTGTTATCACGGTCATCGTCAAGCAGCTCGTCGTATTGTTTGTAAAGCGTGGAGAGAAGACTTCGCCGCTTTAAAACACTAGTACTGACGCTTGAGACTAGCGTAGGCGCAGACTTGTTGAAGATTTCATTGGGTCGATCTGGTAATGAAGCCAAGGAACGAGCTCTTGCAAGTGCTGTAACGCGCTTTGGACAAAGCTTCTTTATCGTTTTTTTACGTCGAGGTGGTGGCCCCTGATCAACGTTTTCATGAATTATGCAGCTCACCCCGAGTTTCTCGAGTAAGAACGCAGACGGTGTCAAGTCCATCGTCGCTATCGAGCATTCAAGTCGTTTTTGTCGTAGAAGTCCGCTACTTCCTGCTATCTGCTTGTTAGAGCGACGGATATTTTCACGATGGAAGTGCTCGTACATTTGCTTTTCTCGGTTCAGACTCCCCACAGCCCAGTTGTCTTTATCCGCAAAAGGAAGTTCTTGAACAGGGTTTTGTAGTGTTGGTAGGAGCATGTGCGGGTCGTCGGCATCTACTGCACCCAACACCTCGAGCTTTCCGAGTGAGTCGCTTACATCTCCATGACCGGAAACCGTACCTTCATGCTGGTTGTCCTCAGTAATTCTCTGTTCTTCCTTCTTTCTCTTGGCATCTTTCCGCCTCATGATCGTCTTCATACGTTGCTGGAACTTGACTCGTTCCTTCTCCCAAGCTGCTTGTCTAGCCAGCTGAAGATCACTCTTCTTCCACGTCGTTTTGCCTGCTAGTTGGTCAAATAATCGACGTGAATGATTAAGGGTACCACTCTCTTGTGGCTGTTGCTCATCTGATGAATACTCGATAGTATTACGCTCTTGTGAAGCCAACGCAATCGCACTTGTCGACACACTTGAAGTCATCTCTTGAGTACTTGAGTTACGCGAAGATTGACTCAGAACCGGCACACTTGCACTACTGAGCATCCGACTTCGCTTCCGTTCTCGATCGAGTAGCGTCATAGACTGCTGTTTTAACGCTAATGACTTGAGTTTGGTACCTTTCAATTCGTCCCAAATTTGTTGTGCTTGCTTTCGTTTGAGTGCTGCAGCACTCGTAACATCCACTTCCCAACGCCAGATATTGGGATCAATGTCAGTCGTTGTTTTATCAACTGTGTTCTTCCCAACTGGTGGCATTCCAGTGCCCAAACTACCCATTCGTCGGCCTTGGAAGTCCCAAACGTAAACCCCTTTATCACTACCACACGTTATCACACCACGCGGCTCGGCGACAATCTGTAAGCTTCGTACATTTCCGCGATGCGCTGTCCATCGATGTGTACACACGACGTCTGTTTCGTCCACATGAAGCGGTTTGGCCTCTGGATTTCCTGTTGCGTTGCTATCTGTGTGTCGATTGCGAAGACGTTTTGCGTGTTTGCCCTGTCGAAGAAAGCGTCGACGTGGATTATACGCTCGATCGTATCTAGAAGGCATGTTCTGTTCGCAAAAAGCTCGGACATGTGCAGCGAGGATCAGCTTGGAAATATCGCACGCAATCACCTCGCCGTTAAAACTCGAAGCGAATAGTAAAAATCTGCCACGATCGATCCCTGCAGCTAGTTGTTCTCCGCCAGTCTCATCGTAAAAAGTTCGACAACATGTGACAGGACTATTAAGTTTGGCAGTTGTCAACGGGGACGAAGACGCTGGAGCTTGCTCCACTACTGAAGTATCAACTGTAGGAGAGATATCAACGATTGGACCATCGAGGCTACTATCGTTTATTGGAGCTTCCGAATCCTCTTCAGTAGCTGGTAGAACCTCCACGGGTTTTACTGGCGTCATGTGGAATGGGTAGAAGCACAGCAGAAGTACCGTAGGCTTTGAAGGCGCCAAGCTCCATACACACACTTGTCCACTTTCATGGCCCGAAAGGAGCAATGGATACGGTTCAATAAACTCAAGTACATTCACTTCACTAGTTGTCAACGCTCCGTGTGTTGACGCGTTGCATGAAGTGTCAGTTGGACATGGTGGAGTGCACGTGTCTTCAAGAAGGAAGTAGATGTAGTCCCATATTTTGATCACACCGTCCGTACCACCACTAGCAACGAGACTTAGTGCGTGGCAGTAAGCGAGACACTTAATGTCGCTGTCGTGGGCCTCAGTGATGCAACGCAGCAGTACGTTTTGAGCTGCAACTCCTCCTGTTTTCGGGGCGTCATCGTCGTATAGACGCAGTGATCGGTCCCATGACGCCGTAAGAACTGTATGGTCTTCTTTACAGTACAACAGAGCCGAGACTTGCTGTCCGTGAGGCGTCCATCGTCCCAGTACAGCTCCGTTCAAGTAATTCACCACTGCAAGTTCTCCATTCTGTGCTCCAACGACAAGCTTCCGCTGTCTAGAATCCAAATCCACACACGTGATATCTGCACCCACAAGCCCTCGATACGAACGCAACAATGAACCCGAAGCAGCGTCCCACACACGAATCTCTCGATCAGTAGCAGTCGCAATCGTTAACGAAGCCTCGTTGAATAACACTGCACTTGCGGCGAGTACGCGTGGCTTGATACGAACACGACGAAGTAATTTAACCTTGTGTGCACCCGCAACTAACAGACTTTGACCGTTGTTTAGAGCCGCCAACGAATGCGCTTTCCACGGATACCGACTTAGGTCACTCCCCATTCTAAAGACCTGCAAACAGCGTCGACTGCTACTTAATTCGGCGTCGGTACTCTCAACTGACAGCACATTGGCTAGAGTCCACCATCGGAACCAACCTTCATCATCCACCGTGATACATTGGTCGGCCAACATTCGAATACTGGAGAGTTCAGACTTGGAGTTCTTCAACAACGCCGAGGCTGCTGCATACGCTGCCGAAGGAATGAGTTGAATACAACACACAGGGGAACCGTGACCCGAAAGACGGAAGACTGGGGTGGTGGCTAAGGCGGAGATCTCCCATCCAAAGACTTCACACTCGAACCCTGCACTCATAAAAACTTGCGATGATAACTTCACCATTAACCGTACACCTCGACGATGACCTTGACGAAAGGTGCGCGTCTGGAGGGTGTGGGTATCCCAAAGGTAGATCATGTTGTCCATTCCGCATGATAACAATGTATCGTCGTTAAGAAGCAGCAGGTCTTGGAGTAAATCTGTGTGTTTCTTTAACGTCGTCACAAGACGAACTTCACATGTGCCGTCACTCGATTCTCCTCGGGTTTTGGCATTGGCAGTGATACTGACGGTAGATCTGATGACGTGGAAGACTGATATCATCAAGTCAGCTGAGATGGAGAAGAGTTGTTGAGTATTGGCACTCCACTCGAGTACTCGTTGAGGACGTGGTGTATGAACAATAGCCAAGGGCCGAGGTGTCTCCATTGCACTCGTGCTGCACGCTGTCAGTAGCGTAGAGGACCAGAACGTCAGCTTCAGATCACCAGCAGAGACTACGAGTAAATCTAGACCTGCTAGATATTTGAGAGCTTGAACTGGAGATCGTTCGGACCGAACTTCGTCCTGATCGCGTCGATAGCCAGAGACGTAACACAGCGGGTGGAACTTGTTAACTACTGGTAGTGACGGTGTAAACGACAAGGTGGCAGCTATCGAGTCTTCAGTATGTGAGTCTGTGTTGAGATCTTTCTCTCCAGAAGTCGATCCAGCGTCTTTACCATTGTCTTCGATCTCAGGTGGAAACAAACCTGTAGGATCTAATATCTCCACCACAGGACGCGAACTTTCTAGTAGCAACACTCTCCGAAACTCCGGGAGATATTCAATCTTCTTGAGTGGTCGATTGACTGCTGCATCTACGAATCGAGAGTGCTCTTCGTATTGGAGATCTCTCAATTGAGCCACCGTTCCAGCCACATCATCGTTGCCTCCACCTGACGACCCCATGCCTCCTTCGATAATAGCACTAGTAAACTCCTCCCATTCCATCGTTCCGTCGCCATTCACATCCACTTGAGCGAAGAGTTCAATGAGGTCTTCAATAAAACTCACGACGCTCTCTGGTTTCCAGCTCACACGATCCAACATAACGTTCACGAATTCGTGCAATGAAAGGCCTCGACCTGCTCGATCAAAGTCCTCTTTAAGCAGAGTCAGATCCTCCACCTGCAGACGAACCATCATGCCCAGACATGCTTGATACTGCAGCAACGCCGCCGCCATCTCGACCTTGTTTATACGACGGCCAGACCCACGGTTTCGTTCTTTGTTGGTAATTTGTTTAAAATTAGAGCTCGCAAATGCCAAAATTTAAGGAAAAAATGAGTGGGGGGTCAGCCCATTAGCTTTTACAATGAGTCTCTTCTTTTAGGTAACTATTAATTTCTTAAAGAGAAAGCTTCCTATTCTCCTAAAATTATTTCAAAGGTAAGTGTGATTCTTAAATTCCTGTCTAAAAACGACGTTTTCCCAAATATCCCTTTTTAAGTGGAGCTCGTTCGAGAGCTTGTTGATCATGTCCATCCAGCGTGCTGCAAACTGCTGCTAAAAAAACAGTGCGAGCTCAATCTGGACGAGACAGGCAACATTCAGCTAGTCTATCTGTTTCAATCAGATTGCGAGAAATGGGTCATTATAGTACTAATAAAGTGTTGCAAGAAGGTGTCGGAGCTAACCAGTAGCAAAGTAATATTGACAAATAATATTTGTGCGCCGAAGCCGACCTAGAGGCTGGTCGCCACATACGCACTTGCTGACACCAGGACTTGTCTTGGCTTATTGTATGTATACCTCTCCGCTCAGCTCTCATGCCGATGCTAAGACTTTTGCCGAGTTTTTTTCAAAGTTGAGTTTGAAAAATCAAAAATAAATAAGTATGCTGACTGACTTACTGTGGGAGCATGGCAACAACGTGGCAGCTGATATAGCATCTAGTTAAAACCAATAACAGTCTAAAGACGTATGTCGCCAAGCAATTAGCCAAATCTAACGAGGCGCACAAGAAGAAAGTGGAGAAAGGAATGCTGAAGCGCAACGAAAACTTCGTCCGCCAATAATAAAGAAGCACGGTGTGTGCGAAAAACATTTTTATTTGTTCTCCCGGGGGGGGGGTACCACAGCGTTTTCTAGGTTTGAATAGGCCGAGTGAAGGCCGTTTGCATATCCTTAAATCAGTAAGAATTTGGCTCAATGGTACGTCACATGGGAGAGCAAGCCATAGGCGATTTTTGGTAGTTACTCAGTGCCCTCAATATCTGCAGAGACAGTCCGAATTCGCACATTGGCATTTTTGCGATGCACTTATCTTAACACCTTGCTTACGAACGTCGTATAAGACGACATATTATTTTTGTTACGTCGTATATTACGACATTGCACGAAGGTCATTAGCAAATGGCTCGGAAAAGTTTTTTCAATACTTTAATCAAGTTACCACAAAAATATAATCTGCGAGAGGTCATTTTGCTACAAGTCAAAACCAGGCCAGGGGAAGGGGATCAGCCACGTCGTGAACAGCCACTCATTCGACATTTTGCTGGATGGTGCGCATACGGAATAGTCGACGCGAGAAGCCCGCCGCGCCGGCTGCCGCTACACACGATATTGACTTTGGCCACTTATGGCGGCAGCTTCGGGCGGCGGGGTGGAAGTCCAAGCGTCCGAGTGGCCTCCAGACTGAGTGGAGCTACTCGAGTCCTGACAACACGCACGTCTTCGTGGGGGAGAAATCAGTCGTGGACTACGCGTTCGACAGTGGCTTGCTGGAAGAGGCGGATGCTGATGCTCAAGTCCGAGATGAAGAAGGTGGGGAACTAGACCAAGCAGGAGCTGGTAGTAGTGGTGAAGAGCAACAACACGAGGGGGAAGACGTCGTTCGGCCTTCCCAGATCGACATCCCGACCATGATTTCCTGTGTTTGGTGGGACCGGAAGCCCGTCTATTATCTCTGTACGGGCTCCATTATGGCGGCGTCGACAATTGAGCGAAAAATAAAACGTATCGGTGCGGTTCGAGTGCCGTGCCCCTCTGCTGTAAATGACTACCAGAACTGGATGAGCGGAGTTGATGTCCACGATCAACTCCGTCTCCAGTCGTATTCACTGCAAATGTCGACGAGGTTCACGAAATATTATAAGAGCCTATTCTTAGGTTTGCTGGACATGGTCATGGTAAATGCGTATCTTACGCACAAAGAGGGGGCCAAGATCAAGGGGATGGCTGCTATGAAGCGCTCAGAGTGGTTTTGCGTCCTTCAAAATCAACTTCTCCAACTCAAAGCCGAAGATTTTGCTGGAGTGGAGGCAACACCGCCTCCTGCGAGCCAAAAGCGCCAGCGCACCCCAGTACGCCTCACGCACGCGCTGCAGCAGTCTGAAGATTGGGTTACCGTTACTGGGGTCCAGAAACGCCGGCAGAGATCGTGCAAGGTCTGCGCGCTCTTGCGTACTGAAAAGAAGAAGTCCTTCGCAACAACGTTCTTTTGCGAACGCTGCTCCGTTGATAATGCGAAATGCTGGTTGTGCAACCGTATTCGACGGGAATACAAGGGCGTTGCGAAGACATGCTATGATATCTGGCATGATGACTTCGACGCCGGGCAAGCTATCCCACCAAACTTAGGGAAGCGCATTGTGCTCCGTCGGCCCGGCCAGAAAGCTGGCCAAAGAAAGAAGACGCGACGGGAACTTCGACTTGGGCACGATGCTGGCAGCGACGACGGCAACGGTGGTGACAACGAGAATGGTAGTGATGACGAGTGAGCTTGGTTGCGTGTCAGTTGATTAGTGATTTGTTTCAAATACACAGCTTCTTGAACCATCGTACCTTCGTCCTTGCGTTTCTTGATTTAAGTGGACTGCCTGTGAAGCAATTTAGCCATCTGTTGACTGCACTTGCAGTCAGTTACGACATTGAGCAGGCAATACTGTCGCTGAATCCCGTCAGAGTTACGACATTGAAAGAAAAACCTGTTGAAAATTAATGCACCTAACCTCACGTCAAAAAGTGCACCCATACAAATACGTAGTAACATTGATATACCGTATCTTACGACATGCGCTTACGCGTTCTGGGCAAGTACCGTCCGGACGCAAGGTGTTAAGCATTACTACGTAGTACTATTTTAGTACATGTACCAGCTTCGTAAGTGTGTAACAAATCTCTTTCCAACACTTTACATGTTAAGCAGGACGTACAAGCAACATAACGATCAGGACCATGTTTACTTAAGCACTCGGCTCCAGGATTGACATTGTGAATAAATGCAACCTTCTCTTGTTTTTTTTGCTTTCGCTGGGGTTTATTATATTGACAAATCTTTTAAAAACTAAAAAGAAGGGGAGCATTCGAGCGAGAAAACTTCAAAAGAATCCGTTTACGACTACAACTCTATTTACAGCGCCGTTATTAATAGCACGCTATTATAGATAAAAGCTCTTCATCCAAAAACTAACAGAGCATGCTAGTACTAGTACTCGCTCTATTAACCCCTCTGTTACCGGAAATTTGACCTGTGAACCGCTAAGTTTTCGTCGTAACTTACGACGACGAATTTATGCTTGCGTTTGCATGGATCTGGCCTTTCCAGAGCAGAATACACTGGGTTTAGGGTAAAATGGTCGAAGGATTTAGCTTTTAACGTCGTATCACTAACGACGTATGATTCCTTCTAGGGAGTACTATGTCGTAACTTACGACATTCCGTATCGTCTGGACAAAGCCGACAGATGAATAAAATGTTGAGATTTGACACTTACAAAAAACGAACAGAATAGATGTACTACTCGCAAGAAAACAACTGAAATGCGGGGCTCTCACGGAGTATCTTTGAAGCACTTTCCAAATAACAC